CTAATTCAAATGTCAGATTTATGAGATGGAATTTGCCTTCTTGTCAATCAAATGAAATTCCAATTGTAGAATTAGGATAGTGAGAAAAACTTATATGAAATTTAATAGATGGAGTTTGTAAAGTTTTTTATTAGAAATGAATAAATAAAAATTAAAGTAAAAAATCAAAATCGATAAATTAAAAGATCTCATTAAATAAATCAAACGTACAAATTTTGAAAAAATTTTAATAAAATTTGATATATTTATTAAATAGATATTTTTAGTGAAAATATTGACAAAAATTTTTATCGTTAAATAAGTATTGATTAAATTTAAATTATAAATAATATTTTTAATTTTTTTTATATATTATTGATTTTTAAATTGAATTTTATCAATTTATTGATATATATTTTTTATTTACTTATTTAAAAAAACTTTTCAAAAATTGAGTTCTCCGTATCATCTTTCTATTCCCCCGCCATCACAGGTTGAATGATTTGATGCAAGTGTATTTATTTTCTTGACTATAGGAACCAAAGATAAATATGAATGTGGAAAAACAATTCCATGGGTGGTGGTTGATTTTCAATTTGAAAATATTGGAAACAAAGCTGTAATATTCTACATGACTGCATATGATGTGTGATAGCTTGGATTTTTTTCTCAATTGCAGTTTTTAAATGGCAATGTGCCCACTTGAGGTTTTCGTTCATGGTGTGGTCCCACCTTCTGAGTTTTGTTTTCATGATTTTTTACTTGCCCTTACTGTTTTATGCCCACCCATGCCTATCTAAATGCAAGTGTATTTATTTCTGACTAGTGCAACCAAAGATAAATATGAATGTGGAAAAACAATACCATGGGTGGTGGTTGATTTTCAATTTGAAAATATTGGAAACAAAGCTGTAATATTCTACATGACTGCATATGATGTGTGATAGCTTGGATTTTTTCTCATTGCAGTTTTTATGGCAATTGCCCCTTGAGTTTCGTTCATGTGTGTCCCACCTTCTGAGTTTTGTTTCATGGATTTTTTTGCTTTGCCACTTACTGCTTGTTATGCCACCCAATGCCAACTATCTAAAAATGTAAGTGTTCATTTGAATTCTCCTGCAATTTCAAAGTGATACATTGGATTCATCGTATTATTAATTGAATTTAAATATTAATTTTAATAAAATTTATTTAATATAAATTTTTTATTAAATTTTAATTAATAATTTTTTTAATCGTAATTATAATAATTTTATTATTGCTTTTAATCTCATCCCAATTAATCTTATTGTTCACTTAAATAGAGTCTAAGATTTTCAGATTTGACTGTAAACAACCAGAACAAACCTGAAAATGGAAATAACATGCAACAGTGTCTTTTTATTAAAATGTTCATTATTAGAATCATGGTTGAAACTTGCACTATCCTTAGCAAAATGAATTTGCTTTATACTCTCTCTCTCTCTCAAGTTCATAATCACACTGTTACTATAGTACTAATTTTATGAAATGAGTAAGTAATTCAATCAATATCTTGAAAAGATTTGTATATTGAAGATTAGTAGTAATAAGTGTACTGACTGAGTCAATCAAGTGAAAAAATTAAGAAATTTTCAGACATAGCTTTACGATCACCTCTAGTAACCACAAGTCAAGCAAAGATGTTTGAATTGAAACTAATTAAAATAGATGTTTAAGTAATATATTAATATTTATAAATTTTTTAAATTTAATTCGAATAAAATTTAAATTTAATTCAATTATTATTATGTCAAACTTAAAATAATTTGATTTATTGAACAAATCGAATTTAAACATTTTAATCTTCAATTTAAATAACTCACAAGTTTAATTGAATTTTTAAATTTTAATATATTTTATTATTTTAATTAAAAAATATTATCTTATCATTTTATATATAAATTTGAGTATAAACTTTAATTTATACGTATAATCAAACTTAAAATTAAATATGACATTAAATTTATTTTTTATTAAATGAATATAATTAAATGCATTTGAATATTTTAATTTTTATTTTAAATTAAATTTAAATCAAATTTTAAATCAAACTGATTTCAAATATTTTACTATGTTAATTCCATTAAATTTAATTATACACTTAAAAAAAAAAAACCAAACTTTTTCTTCATTTTCAATAAAATCAAGTAGCTGTACTTTTTGGTTGGTCATTATCATGCATAATTCAATAAAGGATTTTTTTATATATTCTTAAATAGTGTGGCATTTATCATTAATCTTCACATTCCCCGGATTAATAATGATTAGTTTTTGATTTGACGCATGTAAAATGTTTTCATGAATTTAGGAGACAGACACCAGCTTTATTTGCATCTGCATCAATCTGCCACCCATCAATCGATTAGATCCTAGTAAAATTTAAAAAACACGGGCAGTTTAGGTTGCTGTGCACTGTTTTTTGGCTGAATATTTCGTGAAGCTCGTCGATAACAGGGCTTTCTCTACATGGGAGAGGCGTCTAAGTAATTAGGCACCTTCTCTATAAGATAATATTAAGTCAATTTGAAACTAAAATTTTGTTCTTTAAATCCAAATTTATTTTGGAGATGGTCTCTCGTTTAAGCTACCATTTGTTAGACATGGTAAGTTACGAGTCATGCGCATTATAATTGAATCAAATTAAATTTGAATTAAAATTTAAAATTTAATTTAAATTTAATTAAATTAATTTTTTTATATTTAAATTTGATTTATAATTTAATTAATTCACTCAAATTTTATTCGATAAATTTAATTAAAATTAATAAATATAAATATAAATATTTTATTTTTTATTTAAATATATTAAAAAATAAAATTTTAATTAAATAATTAAAATCACTTATCTCTCAATTAAATGTTTAACTATTTAAATTTAATTAAACTCATTATTTTAATAACTCAATTCGATAACAATAAAATCTTACTTAATTTTTTTCTACTTAAACTCAAATAATAACTTTCTGGTGACACCACTTTACATGGCATGTTCACTGCCCAAAATTTGATAGGCTTCCAAAAGTGTGCCAAAAGCTAAGACCTCTACTGAGCTGGGCCTAAGTTTGGTAGCCGGCCTAATGACTCAGCCTTTTTTCATCCATGATCTTTCAAAGGAACAGACACCTAAGACCACTACCTAGGCTCTCAGCTTACAGGAAGGAACATTAGCTGCTTGCCTGCATCTAATGCAGGCCACGGCTCCCAGTCCCAGCTAGCGTTTCGGCAAAGTTCGGGGATTAGGTTGCTCTGATCGCATTTCAGGCTACAAGTAAACTAGCAGCTACCAACCACATTGTGGCTACAGGCTCATTTATCGAAGTTCACCCAAACAACGCCTTCGACCCAAATCATTGTAATGTAATGTACGACTATCTTCTAAAAGACCTTAACGTAGAAAGAGCAGGGCCTGGCCTTTTCTTATATTCATCCTTTCTCCCATCAGGCCATCGTGCAAATGGGCCGTGGCTTGACAAATTACAGTAATTTTTAATAACAACAACTTTCTTATCATGCATGCCTTCTTTTTGAAGAATCAAAGACCAGTAGATGTAACCAAAGAAGCAAAGGTTGCAGAAAAATGATCGTTATCGGCACATTATCTATTGCTGCAAGTTATTGATGCATAAAGATGGATATTGATCTAAATTTTCGCTCAATTGATTCATGTAATTATTTTTAAATAGTGACATTTAATAAGTTTAAAATTTAAAATTTAATATTTTTAATCCCTTTCTTTATTCTCATACAGTAACTTTTTAAGTATTTAAAAGAAAAAAAAGATAGACATGTAGTCTACCACAAACCTTTTGTGCGAATTTACTCGCTTCAATCACAAACCAATTCTTTTGATTTATCTTGAATCTTTCATTTGAATGATTCACTTGATGCAATAGTTAATAGGATTGAAACTAATGAATTTTAGTTTTCTTTAGGTAAATTTAGTAATTTTAAATATAATATAGTTATACAAGATGAATAAATATATAAGTGACATAATTTAATAAGTTTTTAATAAAAATTATATGTAAATTTAATAAAAATTAAAAAATAATTTTTGAATTTAATGTACCAACATAAATTATGATATAATAATTTTCATATTTTACACGTACATAAAATAAACAAACATAAATATATAAATTACAAAATTTACTTCTATGTGAAAAAATTTTCAAGTAAATGAAGATTTTAGCTATTTTAATTCTCAATTATCAAGATTGTCATCATACAATTAACAGATCAAAACAATATGTCATCATAACGCCTTTTACAAAGAAATATTATTATTAAAATATAAAATAAATAAATTTGATGATTATAATTTGATCCACTTAGACTCATCAACGAAACTAAGAAATACAAGGTTTGGCTTCCAAGTCTGTAAAGTTCCCTTGACCAGGAGATTCAAATTCTTGTGAGTTCTTTTATTTAAACCACAACCTTTAATCCTTATCTTATTTAACCTGCCATTTCTTTTATAAAAAAAATAAATATAAATATATTATGTGGGTTACTACAAATCATCAAAGATTTGTCACACAAACAAAGGAGATCAGGGCAGCCACCGGCCAGATCTGTCTACAATAATCTCATTATAGTTTTTGGGACGTATTTATCTGATTAGCCTTAGATTTCCAATCAAATGATAATTTTTCTAATAATCAAATCCCACATCTTTTAATCTCTTTCTTTTTTATCCTCTAACTTATCATAATGAAAGTGACTCACACGATGAACAGATGATTGGCTTTTTTTTTTTTTTTTTGTTATATGAGTTAACATAAAGCATAAAATATGTAAAATTTGTCAATTCAATCATTGTCCGATACCTCAAATCTATGCGAGGAATCTCTCGTTTTCACCGGTGGTCTATACGAGCCTTGCTTTTCTTCCCAACCCATATTCCAAAACCAGCATCTACTATAACACAGCAGCCACACAAGTCACAACAATTAGGCAGTAAGATTCCTCATACGATCGACGAAGAAAACTAAAGCTCCATGTTCAAAATAACCGCCGCCACGTTCCTAGCCATAGCCACCTCTTTCTCTGTTCTCTTTTCTCCCCCACCAAAATCATATTATCACTCGCTTTTCGTATCCAATTCCCTGTCCGATAACGCTTCCATATCTCACGACCTCTACACCCTCACCCGCCGGCCGCATGTTGCTGGCTCCCGAGCCAACGCCGAGGCTGCAGCCTATGTTCTCTCCATACTCTCCTCCTGCAACATGCAGGCACACATCGTTTCGTACGAGGTTTTACTGACCTACCCAGCTTCACGTTCATTGACTCTGACACGTCGTCATCCAGACCCACCTATAACTTTTGATCTGAAGCAGGAAATATATGAGGGTGATCCCTACGCAGATGTGGCTAATGAAGTTTTGCCTACTTTCCACGCATACGCCAAGTCAGGTTCTGTCACTGGACCAGTGGCTTTTGTGAACTATGGACGGATAGAGGACTACGAGACATTGAAAGAAATGGGAGTAAACGTTACGGGTTCTGTGGTTTTGGCGAGATATGGACAGATTTATAGAGGAGACATTGTGCAGAATGCGTTTGATGCTGGTGCTATAGGGGCACTGACGTATACAGATAAGAAAGATTATGGAGGTGGGGGAGGTGATGCAAAGTGGTTTCCCAATGACAAATGGATGCCACCAAGTGGCGTTCAGGTGGGATCAGTCTATAACCAGCAAGGCGACCCTACTACGCCAGGATGGGCTAGCACTGAAGAAAGTGAGAGGTTGTCAGTTGAGGAGGTGGAGAGGAGCGGAGAAGTTCCTCTAATACCTTCATTGCCAATATCAGGAGCAGATGGTGAAACAATCTTGAGGTCAATTGGTGGACAAATTGCAAAAGATGATTGGCAGGGGAGCAAAGATGCCCCAACTTACAGAGTTGGGCCAGGGCCAGGAGTTGTGAATCTCGATTACAGTGTAAGCATTGAATCCAGAATCTATCACCTTGGATGATCACTGGAACATTAGGATGAGTTCCAATATAACCCTACAATCCAATCTGTCAAACTGAATCCCAACTTAAATGGTCAATAATGGGTTAGCATCTTTAATGACATTTTCAGGGGAAACAAGTCATTGCAACAATTCAAAATGTCATTGGTGTTATCGAAGGAATGGAGGAGCCTGATCGGTAAGTTTAGAAACATATGTGAACAGGGCTGCATGAATAGTATCATTTGAGTTGGGCACTCATAAAAAATTAAACATAGTTGAGAATAATTAGGAGTACTTACTCGCTTTATAATGATTTTCCCTGTTCTTATTTAACTTTTCCAAGGTTTGTCATTCTGGGCAATCATCGTGATGCGTGGACATTTGGAGCTGTTGATCCCAACAGTGGTACCGCAGCACTGCTAGAGGTGATTATGACCACATTACATTCCCACCCTTGCTACCTTTCAATGCTAAAAACAGATAGCACATTTGTACAAATTGTGCCTTCAGTTGAATTTCCCTGCATCGTAGGTTGCCAAAAGACTCTGGAAGTTGAAAAAAATTGGTTGGAAACCACGACGAACAATTATTTTGTGCAATTGGGATGCTGAGGAGTATGGCTTGGTGTGTCTGACTTTCTCTCTCTCTCTCTCCTATGCCTCTATCCCTATTCTCCTCTTTCTGAATTGAAATTTTAACACTCTTACTTCCAGATAGGATCAACAGAATGGGTAGAAGAAAACAGAGAATTGCTGGCTTCAAGGGCAGTTGCATACTTGAATGTTGACAGCGGGGTATCTGGGGCAGGATTTCAAGCTGCTGCAACTCCACAACTTGACGAACTACTCAAACAAGCTGCTCAACAGGTATTTCAGAAGTGCTAAAACAAACCAACAGCAGGGCAATGGCAATAACTGCTAAGAACAACCAAAAGAAAAAGAAATAGTTTCCAAGCATAAGCAGGAAAGATTTGAAAGGAAAAAAAAAAAAAAGGAAAATGATGACAGCATATAGACATTGTGTTGTTGGATTTCAATCCTTTTACCAGTTGCCACTCTTCCCTTACTTGGCTAAATCATTCTTCTATTTGATTTTTGAAGGTTCAAGATCCAGATAACTCATCACAAACAATCTATGAACAATGGGTTGGGTCCCTTGATTCTCCAGTGGTAAGCAAACTTAATGATTCCAAAGAACTTGTATTGGTACGTATACTTTACATGTCTGCTTCAAAAGTCAACATATTCATTAACCTGTACGTAACCTGTGAAGATTGGAAGATTAGGAGGAGCAGGTTCTGATTATGCGGCTTTTGTGCAACATATTGGTGTTCCAGCAGCTAACATGCAATTTGGAGAAGGTAATAAACACAATATACCATGTGAAATTTCCTTTTACTTCACAAGGCTACATAAAAGGGACAGGATATTGTACACGCAATGCAATTTTTTGTTACCATAAACACCAACAAAATAGTTTGGACAAACATGAGGATGAAAAATAAAAAGCAGAAAATTTCCAATAGGTTAAAAAAATGCACATATAAATGCATTAATTTAGACTAATAAAGCAGATATGAAGATCTCGCAACTATATGACCAATAAATATCAAACCTTGCAAAGGAAGCAGAATCTCCATTCATCATACTGAAAGAAACTATAAATCTATTCACATCAGGTTGATAAAAGACAATGCCACAAGGGTTGACAAAAGATAATAAAACAACCAGTATTCTGACAAAGACCGTAGTACCTGAAACAATTCCCAATAATTTTTAATTTCTACCATCAAGAATGACTCATAATCTATCTAAAAAATCTAACAAAGGCATGCTGTTCATTAGACATTAATCCAACCTAGGGTTCTAGCCATAGATACATGCTCACAATAACAGATTATTTATTTGTTTCAGAATAGAAATAAAACAAAACTTTAAGCACTTCCCCTTAAGTAGCTGAATGAATTTCAAATTTTGCTAGGGAGATAACAAAATATATGTTACTTGTCAACATTGGCCTTGAAGTAATTGAATCATCAATCTCTTTTTACCTTCTCCAGGTGGCACCCCCCCCCCCCCCCCCCCCCCGATAAATAAAAACTCACTGCAAGATACAGCTTCAAATCTTTTCCAATGCCTTGTGACCTTAGATTCAACTTTGAACCCCCAGAATTTGCAGCCATTAGCAAAGTAGACACAAACATATGAAGGCATAGATTTTTCTTATGTTTCATGCCTAATAAAAGTAATTGTTCATGCAGGATACCCAGTATATCATTCAATGTATGATGACTACATCTGGATGGAAAATTTTGGCGATCCAATGTTCCATAGACATGTTGCAGGTACAAAGCAGCATCTAAAAATTAGAAATCCTTGAACAAATGGTAGCATCTATAGTTTTTTCTTCATCATTTCTCATTAATCCTCGACACTTCAATATGCACTTTGATAAATAGGATATGTAGTGTGTATTAATTACTTTAGCTTTTGTCAAACATTTCACTACTAAGAAATAAAAAAAAAAAGGTACCGCAGACAACTAAATGACAAAACAAGAATTCTTTTTTTGTTTAAAAAACAGTGGCAAGTGTTTGGGGTTTAGCAGCTCTTTGGTTGGCAGACGAGGAGTTCTTGCCTTTTGATTATCACTCCTATGCATTTGAACTCCAGGTAATTAGCCTTTAGGAAAGAAACAACTACATGCAGTCCTATGTAGTATAAGCCTGTAGATTTTAGTGATTAGCCAGAAAAGCTTAATACAATACAACAAAATCCATGATAACAGAAGAATGCAAAAGACCTGGAAAATGCGATTTCAGATAAGGGCATAACCTTTTCTCCCTTGTTCAAGTCTATCGAGGAGCTATCAATAGCAGCTAGCAACATAAATGACCAGAAAAAGGTAACACTACAGTTTCCATAAATCAAGTTTGAAAATGAAAATGATAATAATAATGTTCAGCAGAAAAAGTAACGTCAGTATTATTGTCTAGGAAATAAAAGAAGCTAGAGGTTGGACATCAATGTGGAGAAACAACCATGTCAAAGTGCGACAGCTAAATGACAGACTAATGATGGCAGAACGTGGATTTACAGACCGTGATGGACTTCTTAGAAGACCATGGTACAAACACTTGGTAAGTTTTCCTTAACTACATTCACCTAAACAAGTTAATCTCATTGTACTAAGATTCCATTTTCAATTAATTCATTACACAACCAAGTTAAATATCAAAACCCAAGATGGAAACCTCGAGAAATATATTATTCAATATCATAATTATAATGAATGGACTAAATTACCTATTATTATGACATGCAGATTTATGCTCCCTCAAGGCACAATGATTATGGATCTGCATCCTTCCCAGGAATATACGATGCAATTGAAAAGGCAAAGAATCTGAACACTGCTGAGTCATGGCATTTGGTGCAACACGAAGTCTGGAGGGTTTCTAGGGCTGTGAGGCATGCCTCCTTAGTCCTTAATGGAGAACTAACATGAAATGTGCAAGACGGATCTATCCTTGAGACAGTTATGTACTTCAGTCAGACACTGAGAGAGTGAAGGGTCATAAGAGCTCTCTAGATTCTAAAAAATTCACTTTCTTGCCAAATTACACTAAATCAATCATCAGTACAGAATCATAAATCTTTATATCATTGAATTTAACTCAGGTTCCAAGGTAAATTTCAAAATCAAACACTAATAATCCAGAATCGTAAAAAAAAGAAAAAAGAAAAATAAAAGAATTAAAAGGGGATTGATGACCAGGAAGGGCCTTCTTTGATGTGAGCCAGTCGGCGCTCGTACTAGCGGAGATTGATGCAGTCACCACGCTTGAAGTAGACCTTGACGAGGACGAGGCCTTCTTCGTGGTTACACTGGATCGACTTGAAGAATCGGCCTCGACCGACCACTTCCTTCGGCACCGAATTGTACGAAGACGGCAGGTCTTGCGGGTGATACTCCGTCGCAGAGACCTGCTTCGTTCGCGCGATCTTATATTCCATCGAATATTTGAGTTTTCGCGGCGATGTTGCAAAGTTTCCTTTTTTTTTTTTAACCGGGGCATCGTCTCAAAGAGAAAAAACGAGAGTAGCTAGGGTGTTCCGTGGGGAGTCCGTTCGATTAATTTTGAATGAAACTATTTAAAATTGAATTAATTAAATTAAATTTATGAATTTTAAAAATTAATTAATTGAATGAAATTTGATTTTAAAATTTTTAATTAATTGAATAATAAATATATTTAAAATAAATTAAATTTTAAATTTTAAAATTTGTATTTAATCTTAGATGCTCTCCAAGGTTGAAACGGGCTCTAGTCTTTCATCTTATTGTAGTATCCTGCCACATGTGTTGGCTCTTAATTTGTCTTTTACACTTCCATTTGAAGTCTACCGCTGTTAAAGCACAAGTTTATACATCTTTTTAGCATGTTCCCATCAGTAACAATTTTTTAAAAATAAATTTTCCCGTTTATCTTGCAGTTTGGCATGCTGATTGAGTTCCTCTTTGAAAAGTCTCCAAACTTTGAAGACGCTACTGAAACAGCAATTGGAGATCTATAGGTGAGTGAATACTGTCTAATTCCTTTGAATTTGATGCTCAAGCAGAAATTTACTGAGCACTACTAGCATGGATCCTGCTAGCAGAAATTTCATAAGGTTTATCAACGACTCGAGTCCATCTAGAGGAAAAAGTAAGCAACGTGACAGAAGCTCTATGTATGGATGATACTTAGGCCAGCTTAGGTAATTTTTCAGGTGCACCTCTGTATGAAATTCTCTGTATGATATTTAGGGATCAATAGAAATCTCTTTATTTATGTTTCACTTTTAACGTATCTTTATATTTTGGGCTTCCTTGTATAATCATCTTCAATCTTGTGCACACTGTAAATATACATGTTTATTGACTTTAACATTTATATAATCACCAGATATCTTACACAAATGCAATTATACATGATTACATGACTTTGACGACTCGCTACTTAGCTAGTGATGATGCAGGGATTGTATCTTTTTTTTTTTTTTTTCTGAATACAAGCTTTCCATAACCTCATTGAATTTGTGTAAACTCGCAAGTTTTGTTTATGGTTATCTCCTTGTTGACAGGGGGAGAGCTTTTATAACCCATACATTCCCGGGGTTATAGAGGTGTTGACTAAACAAGGATTAGTTGAGGAAAGTCAGGGAGCTCGTGTGATCTTTGTTGGAGGCATTAATGTACCTTTTATTGTGGTGAAGAGTGGTGGTGGTTTCAACTAGGCATCAACTGATCTGACTGCTCTTTGGTAAGTTTCCTTCCTTGAATATGATGTTATGAGCCTCTATTGTTTTGTAGCATTTCTTGCGGAATATGTGAGATCTGCCTGACTTATGTGCCACCAAGAGAATTGAAAGAAATTAGAGTCGCTAAAATTACGAAGTGGGCTGGTTTGAAAATTCTATAGTGTGTAAACTTTGGATGATTTATTGCTTATTGTTGCCTTTTCTATGTTGATCTCATGGGGTACCTTGTTAATGTTAGACCAATTTGCTTTGAGTTGTTTACTGGTTTAGAGATTATAGCATGCGTTTCATAAAGTTTACTGTTTATGTATTGATATGGAACATGTTAGCCTTGGGAGGAATTAAGCAGCTTTTGCATCAATCTTTTTGCTTGCAATTTTTAGGTATCGCCTCAATGAAGAGAAAGCTGAGTGGATTATATATGTTACTGATGTAGGCCAGCAGCAACATTTTGATATGGTGTTCAGAGTGTGTTCTCAAAGCTGTTTCCAGAATTCTGTTGAGTAATTTTTAAAATCCTTTATTAATGAAGTGAAACTTCTTTTTTTATTCTATTTACTATAACTAGACTACAAATTAAGGATCATAAAGTGTAATTCCAACTTTAGACCTCTAGTCTCTAGCTATAGGTCTGACATTATTTCGGTTTATTTTTCAAGCTGCCAAATGTTCAGGGTGGCTTCCACACGGTGATAGTTCATATTTAAAGCTAGCCATGTCGGTTTTGGCCTTGTTCTTGGAAAAGAGGGCAAGCCTTTTCGAACCTTTTACACTAAGTAGTTCGATTAGTTATATACCTGATGAAGCCAAGAATCGATGTAAAGCAGCGCTTATTGAGCGTGGTATAATATTGAAACTTATCTCTGTTGTTACAAATGTTTATTAGCTCTTTTTGAGTACCTTATGTTTGTAAAACTATTTGTGATGTATGTTTTAATTCAAGTTCTTGCTGTTGTTAAATTGTAGCCTTTCAACCTTTCAAACTTATATCTGAAATTGCTACTTTATGTGCTGATCAGGTGAGGGTGAAGAATGACGAAGGAGGAGATTGCGAGCACTGCTGAGGCAGTTGATTATGGTGCTGTAAAGTAAGCTACTTGTGACTACATAAATTTCTTCATCTAATCTAACAGTTATTGCTATGATCCTTTTAATATTCATAAATTCTGGTTAGATGTATCTGACTTGAAGAACAACAGATTGACAAATTACACATTTAATCTTGACCAGATGCTTAATGATAAGGTGCCTAAACAATTCTCTCCCTTTCAGACAAGCATATTCAGCTCGACTTGGCTTGAATCCAGGTAGAGAAAAGGATCGCTGGATCGGGTGTGCTACGGGTCGGGTCAGATCTTGACAAAACGTACGAATCTTATGGCTTTACTAATGCAAAAACGATGTTGTTTTGGAAAGGATATATAAGGCTGAAATTCGATTTTTCTTCAGATTTCCCTTCTCTTCTCCTTTCTCTTTCCTTCTTTTCTTTTCCTTCTCTCTAAACAATCTCAGATTTCGATTGAATGTTCTACCAGAATCTGGAAAAAGATGTCGAAAACTTTAAAGTTGACCGAAAAATTTGTCGGAAAACTTGAATATCGCTGAAATTTTTCATTAGATTCTGAAAAATTTTCAGAAATTTTTCAGAAAAAAACTTCAAAAATTCTAAAAAATTTTCCACAAATTCTTAAAATTGTTTCTGATGCACTAGAACCTTTTTAGCTTCTGTTTCCTCTGTGTGTGTGTGTGTCGTTTGTTTTCTGTAGACTTATTTATAGAGATTGATCAGAAGAGTTTCTGATCAATCTCAACTCCTTCTAGGATTTGAATTCAATCTTTGAATCTAATCTCGATCTGCTAGCTCCCAAATCACGGCTAAATTCATTTCAATTTTTTATCCTAATCCTAATCTCAACTGAAAAAAAAATATAAATAAAAATAAAAATAATAGATAAATATATTAATAAATAACTAAAAGAAATTAATTAGATAAATAAAAAATATTAATAGATAAATAATAATAATAATAAAATTAAAAAATTAAATTAAATTAAAAAAAAATGAACTCATAATAACCATTTGGATCAGACCCAATTGATCCGGGCCTAGACCAAATTAGGTGTCTACAGCTGCCTCTCTTTGCACATTTTCTGTGAAACAAGAATTGTGCAAAGACGTAGACATCCATTCAAGACTCAGTTTGACACTTTTTGCTTTTCTTTCTTTTGTTTTTTTTTGTGTTTTTTTATGTTTTTTTGTTAAAATTTTAGTCAAAGCTCCTCTAAGCAGAGGCTCAACGACTTTGAGTAAAATAAACAAAGCTTCTTTAAACAGAGGCTCCACGACTTTGAAAATAAATGACTCATCTAATTAGAAGCTCAATGACTTTGCAAAATAAATGGTTCTTCTAATTAGAGGCTCAACGACTTTGAAAAATAAATAAAGCTCCTCTAAACAGAGGGTCAATGACTTTGAAAAATAGATGAAGCTCCTCTAATCAGAGGCTCAATGACTTAAAAGAAAATAAACAAAGCTACTCTAATCAGAAGCTCAATGACATAAAAGAAAATAAACAAAGCTCCTCTAATCAGAGGCTCAGCGACTTTAAGAACAATAAATTACTTCTCTAAATAGAGGTAACCACGACTTTTGAAAAATAAATTGCTCTTCTAAACAGAGGCACCACAACTTTGAAAAAGTAAATGCTTCTTGACAATCATGTCCAAAGGAGTTAAAAATTGTGTTTGAAGGAATTTCAGGAGATTATGCCTAAATGTTTTACAAATCAATCTTGATATCGAGAGATATCCTATTCCAAGGATTAGAAACTTACCTGACAAGCTTTTTCTCAAATTTGAAAATATCTTCACATTTGTCTTCTTTATGTGAGATTTTAGAATACCTCTACTTCTTGAATTTATGCATTATATTTTTTTGAATGTAGTATATGCTATGCAATGCATGTGAAATTCAATGCATGCTATACAAATGTTGGCTAATTAATTCCTATTCAATTATGTTACTTAAGTTTCTCAAGCTATTTTCTTGGGCCTTGAACCCTTAATTCTTCAAAGATCAAGTTACGCTATTCTTCTAAGATCGAGCCAGTGTAACTCTCAATCATCTCTTCCATTTAATTCTCACATTCTTTTTGTAAGAAATCTCTTTCCAAATTCAATGTCCTTATCAGGAACTGAATATCTCGATTTTTCCTTTATCACTATTGACTTCTTCAATGTAATGTAAAATCTTTCATGCCATTGTTCATTTATCAATCATTATTTCAAACTCAAAAAGTAAGAATGCATTTGCACATTTTTTCCATTGTAAGGTATTTAAAAAAAAGAATAAGAATGGTTGGGAAACAATAAACAGAAGAGGCACACAAAGAGTGAAATAGAATGTCTTTTATTAGCAAAAATGTTGGTAAACTTTGGCCAAGAAAGAATTACAAAAATAAGCATAGGGAGACAATGCCCAAAAATGAACAATCGGATAATCATGATAACACATCTCAAGGTTCTTCTAAAAATCCCATCATCTGATGCACTTAATAACTTAGAGCTCATCTAAATTTGCTA